GAAACGGCCAATCCTGGCCAACTCAGAAACGAGAGTTGTGAGGATATCTCAAGCGAAACGGCCCGGACCATCAGATTTTTGTGAGGATGTCTCTGCTCCCCTTTCCCCCGGCTGGAGTTAGCTTCTATCACAACAGCACCCCGTTCAGCAAGCTGTTTGGGGAAATACCCCCAAAAAATCTAACAGTATTCAAAAAATCGGCCCCAGACTATTTGGAGCTATTTCTGACTTTTCCTCCTGTAGAGGGACAGGCCCGACTTAACGCTATGTGGACGACCCGCGCACCCGGCGCCAACGAGGCCCCAACGGGCGTTTACGGGCGAGCACGCCGGTGTGAGCTGTACGTGGTGCAAGCTGTGCTGCGTAAGATCTGCGGTGTTATGCGAGCCACGAGCAAGGGCTCCCAACTTCGCGCTCCGCGCTGCGCGAAGTGCGAACAACTTGGCGCTCTCGCGCCGCCTCCCAGGGGAGGAAAGGAGGAGGAGGAATCGGAGCCGAGCCGCGAAGCGCGGAGCGCGAATCACTTCGCGCCCTCGAGGGCGCCCTTGCACGAGACGACTACCGGGCGGCCACGGTCGGCGACGTGACGAAAACCCGATTTGTGGCGCGCAGCCTACGTGGTGCAAAGTACAGGCAGGAGAGCCCAGAGTCGAATCGACAAGTCGGAGCGGCGATCGAACGGAATCGGAGCGGCCGGAATCGGCAGCCGAGTCGGGAAGAGTCACGTCGGCGGACATCGGCAAGCCACTGTGCCTCCACGGAGGAATCGGGCGCCGAATCGGAATCCCAAATCGAACCGAATCGGAGTGGGAAGGAATCGGAATCGAAATCGGATCGGAATCGGAATCGGATGGGATCGGAATCGAATCGAATCGGAATCGAATCGGATCCCAAATCGAATCGAATGGGAATCGAAGCGGATCGAATCGGAGAAAGCGAAATGAGGTGGCCGCGGGCGGCCGCGTGGCGAAGCCTCGCCGGGCCCACGCGGCGCAAAAGGCGGCCACGAAGCGGCCACGGGGGGACGAGGCGGCCACGACGCGGCCGCTGGGCGGCAGCGTGGCTCGCCGGGCGCACCAAGCGCACGAGGCGGCCACGAGGCGGCCACTGGCGGCACCGTGAAAATTCCTCGACACATCCAGTCAATTCCCCAGTGAGATGTGAGTTGCTGCGCTGTGGATGTACAAACCATGTGATGCAAGCTTTGTGGTGTGAGCTGTGTGTTGCAATCTACGTGGTGCAGGCTACGTAATGTAAGGGCTGTGTTACAAGCTAGGAGGTGCTAGCTACACCGTATAGGTTTCACCTCCATAGCTTTCACGACGTAGCTTCCATGACATAGATTTCACACTGTGTAAGTTTCACCTCTGATCGGGGTCCACCCTGGCTAACATTTTACTGAGATGTTGGAAGGATGTTGGCAGTGTCGCACTTTCGGGTTTCCCACCGACCAGGACAGCCCCAAAGGCCCCCGAGATCGCCCTGAGAGGCTCCTGAGAGGGCCCCCAAATGGCCCCCAGAGGACCCTCAGACGGCCCAAGAATAGAGGGAAAAGAACTATGCACATGCACCGATTCTGGCCAGGCCCACCCTGAGCCCAGGATCGGTGCATACGCCCTCCTACCTTGGCCAGGAAGGCATATGCACCGATCCTGGGTCAAAAATGGGCCTTGCCAGGATCGGTGCATGTGCATAGTTCTCTTCGCCCGAAAGAAGTCACCAAGACGTTCAAAGAAGGCCCCAAGAGCCCTCCGCCACACGATGATCCCCAAGACCTCCAGCAGGCCCTGAGAGCCCCCAGAAGCTCCAAGAGGCCGGACTCAGTCCCCAAGAGGCCCCCGAGAGGCCTTCAGAAAATCCCAAACCGCATCCAACAGCATTTCGTGAAGCCCACCAAGAGGAGGAGGAGGAGGAGGAGGAGGAGGAGGAGGAGGAGGAGGAGGAGGAGGAGGAGGAGGAGGAGGAGATCCCCACAGGCAACCAGCAGGCCTCTGACATACAACCAATGCGCGGTGAGACGGCATTGGCCCGAGGCCACTAGCTCCGCCGCCGCCGCTGGTCTTGCCAAAAGGGTACACGGCGTGCCAAATGTTTGGCATTGCTTTCCCTTCTAAAGGCCCAGCCGCCTGGACAGAGCTGAAATGTCGTTATCCGTTGGCCCCATCGCCTCCAAGACTGCCAAGATGGCCTGTCCCGAGACGCCTCCAAGAAGGCCAAGAGGGCCTCCAAGACGGCTCAGGAGGGTCCAAGATGCCTCCAAGTCCGCCCAAGAAGCCACCAGGACGGTCCAAGATGGCTCCAAGATGATGGCTCAAGACGGCACAAGAGGCCCCCAAGAGGCCAGGCTTCCAAGACGGCCCAGGAGGCCTCCAATAGGCTCTCCAGGACGGCCCGAAGAGGCCCAAATCCTAAAGATTTCCTTAGGGTTTGAAGGATTTGGGTGTTTGCTATTGTTCGGCCGTCCGACGACCTAAGATCGCCCACAACGCGTCCAAAATGGCACCTTATGACGGCCCGGAAGGCCCCCATGACGGCCCCAATGGGGCCCCAAGACGGCCCAAGAAGCCATTGAGACTTCCAATATGGCCTCCAAGACGGCCCTGAAGCGCCCCAAGAGGGCCCCAAGCCTGTTCAGAGAGGCCCCGCACTACCCCCAAGCCCCCGGATATATTTTGATGATGATGTGTGGCAGTAGCTTGTGGTGAAAATAAACTGGCTCGAACGAAGAACGGTCTCTTACGACAGGTCTTAGCTTGTTTGTCATTGCCGCCCCCCCGCCGCCGCTGGGGTTACGACGAAAAGCTGGAATTCGGGACAAGTGTTCTACTCTGCCTTGCCATCCGTGCCGCATCCATGTCTTGTAGCCATTTCTGGCTCGGAGTCCCGTGCAGAGCGGCGTGCGCTCAGATGGTACCAAGTCTGGCACGATTTTCATGATGTTGTGAGGAGACCGCTGTTCTTCATCCGTAGTTTAGTCTTGTACCTGTCTGGATGCCTCGAGGGGCCCTTTTAGGCTGTCTTGGGGCCTCTCGGAGGGCTCTGGACCTTTTGGGGCTCTCTTGGGGGCCTCTTGGGGCCTGCTTGGGAGCCTCTTGGAGTCCGCTTGGGGCTCTCTTGAGGCCGTCTTGGGGCCCTCTTGGGCCGTTTGGGGGCCCTCTTGGGCCTTCTGGGGGCCCTCTAGGACCCTGTTCGGTCTTTGGGGGGCCTCTCAGGCCGTCTATGGACGATCTTCGGAGCGACTTGGGCAATCTTGTGCCGTTATTGGCCCGAAACGGCGAGAACCCGAAAAACATGCAAAAACCAAGGGAGCATCTATGTTTTAGGCCTCCTGAGGCCCTCTCGGGGGCCCTCTTGAAGGCTTCTGGAGCCGTCTTCAGGCTCTCTTGGGCGGTCCTAAAGCCCTCTTGGACTCCTCTTGGGGGTTTCCTGGGCCGTCTTGGGAATATCTGGGGCCGTCTTGGACGTTTCTGGTGCCGTCTTGGGGGGGGGACCGTGTTAAACCACGCCCCTCCTCTGGACCCCTCCCCAGAAAGCTTCGCCCCACCAAAACATCATCACTCATACCTCGCTCTTTCCGTCACCTGGGGCTGCAGATGCCACCCCCTCACGCTCCCCCTAATCTCATTTCTCCTGACTACAGGATCGTGCTCTACGCGCGCTTTCCGTCACCTGGGGCTGCAGATACCACCCCCTCACGCTCCCCCTAGTTTCATTCCCCCCGACGAACGGATCGCAAGCTGCGCGCGCTTTCCGCCAGAAGCGCGCCCAAAGACTCGCAGAGCCAGTACGGCCATGGCACTGCCAACAGGAACGCTACAGAAGGAACGAAGGGGCTTGCCTGGCCACGGCGAGCCTCGGCCGCGATTGGGTCCCGCGGCCCAGAGCTCAAGACCGGGCCGACCACCCGAGCCCGTCCTGAGCCCAAAGCGGTCCTTCTTCGAGCGCCTCGATTGAACTCGCAGATGGCCCGGATCCGCCTCAACTGTCGAGCGGGGGAGTTGACGATCCATGGCATCGAGGCAAACGAGTGTTTGTTTGTTGTTCTCTTCAGATGTCTGCATGTAGGGGAACGCGCCTGGCGAAGTGCGACAAAGAGGTGCACAGCGCGTGTCAAAGCTCAGCCTCTGGCGCCACCAGAGCCGATTGGCTCCCGTGCTGCCAGCTCGAAGTCTTCTCTGGTCAGACACGCAGGGTGCCTGAAAGTCGTAGTTTGCATGTCACCAGAGGGTGGGCCCATGAGTCTTCAAGATGGTCTTCACCTGAGGTGTTGTGGAAACGCAGGTTTAACCATCATTCTCAAAGCTGGGATTTGGCAAATACCTGCAGTTCCCCTACACAAAGACAAGGAGGGGGTAGCTTGGGCCCTGGGCGAATCGCTTGCGGCCACTGGCCTACAGTGTTCAGCCAGGCCGAGAAGGCGGCTTGGGTGCAACTCGGATGGGGATTCGCTCTGCGATGGTTCTCGTCTTGCATTGCCTTGTCTTGTCTTGCCTTGCCGAGCCTTGCCTTGCCTTGCCGAGCCTTGTCTTGCCTTGCCTTGCCCTGTCTTGTCTTGTCCCCCTTCCGTCGTCATCCATCTTCCCTCGTTCCTCCGCCCTCCCGCCTCCTACCTCACGCCTTCCCGCCGTCTGCCCTCCTTCCTCCCCCTCGCCCCTCGCCCCTCCATCCCTCCCTCCTCCCCGACAGGCCGCCCCGCGGCCATCTCGGCCGGCCGATCCTCTCCATCAGGTGGCCCCAGGTGTCTCGCAGCTCGGCCAGGCCGATGGCGAAGCAGGTCCGCACGAGCTTGGAGGTGCCCGCGAACTGGCTACCTTCGGGGGTACACCCTGCGAAATGCTTAAGAAATCATGGGTTAAGAAATTCATGGTCTCAGAACTTGAATAAAAACCCAACATTTCCGTTCAAATCTTAGGATATACATTGAAACGTTAAGAATAATCGAGACTCTGGCCGAAAACTTAGGTTTTCTTAAGCATCGCCTAAGGTGTATGCTGGCCCGTGTCCACGCAAACAAACAAACCCTGGGCCATTCGGGCCTGGCAGGACCCTGCAAGATGCCGAAGCATCCTGCAGGATCCTGCTCGCTGGCCAGGGTAAACCGTGGCCCTGCAGGATCCCGCCAGATCTGGAGCCCTGGCTGGGAAGGAGGCAGGAAGGAGAAGGAGGGGAGGAGAAGGGAGGAGGAGGAAGGAGGGAGGAGGGAGGAGGAGAGAGGGGGGAGGGAGGAGGGAGGAGAAAGGAGGAGGGAGGGAGGAGGGAGGAGAAGGGAAGAGGGAGAAGGAGGGAGGAAAAGGGAGGAGAGAGGAGGAGGAAGGAGGGAGGAGGGAGAAGGGAGGAGAAAGCAGAGAGGAGAAAGCAGGGAGGAGGGAGGAGGAGGGAGGAGGAGGAGGAGGAGACGGAAGAGGAGGAGAAGCCTCGCAAGGTGTGGCATTATGCTTTGCCTTGCACTGCTTCGCGCGCATAGTATCGCACTCCGTTGCAGTGCTTTGCACTGTTGTGAATCGCCTTACGATGCATTTTGTTCTGAACCACATGGCGTGGCTTCACAGTCGTGTGCATTGCCGTGCATTGCGTGTCAGTGCGTCACCTTGGTTCGCATTGTGTTACCTTGTGTTGCATTAGTTGGGGGAACATAAACCTACCTCGCGTTTGACCACCCTCGCTTCCAAGAGATACCAAACGATGCCAGATTGCAGCCTGTACTGGTCAGGCCGCTTGACGAGGAGGCGCGTGGCATGGCTTGGTTTTGCCTGGAAGCGAAAGCGGGGTAGGTAATTCACGCTCTGATTACGATGCATTTGTTCTGAACAACATGGCGTGGCTTCACAGTCCTGTGCCTTGCCGTGCACTGCGTGTCAGTGCGTCGCCTTGGTTCGCATTGTGTTACATTGTTACTCGTGTTCCGGAGGGGTGCCGTCACCGAACGCCTAGGGCTGGAGTGTGAAGTCTACATCCTGGTTTGCCTCCAGGAGGACATCTTTGGCATCTTTGGCATCTTTGGCATTGTGTTACCTTGTGCCGCACTGGGCTGCATGGCTCTGCGCACACGCAGCGCGCCACACGGCACGCACCGCACACGCTACACGCAAGCGGTGCCGGAGGCCCACGCTGGCCCACGCACACTACACAGACATCGATGGGCGACACGACCAGAGAGAGCCCACCAGGAGGAGGAGGAGGAGGAGGGGGAGGAGGAGGAGGAGGGGGAAGAGGAGGAGGAGGAGGAGGGGGAGGAGGAGGAGGCGCCCACCACCGAGCACGTACTGTGAACTCTCTGAGCGCGCGCGTCGCCCCTGCGCGGGCAGCGCACACGCGGGTCAAGGACCCGTGGATCTGGCACGCGTCTGCCGGATCCGCAAAAATCGGAGGAAGCATCCCCACCACATGGGGCCGATGCCGTCCGATTTGGCGGCGGAGCTTGGCGCGACAGCAGTGGCATGGTTGAAAGCAGCGCCGCCTCCCATCCTCCCTCGGTGTCCCATACCTCCCCGCCTCGTATCATCACCCCCTCCTCCCACTCCGCACGACTGGTGGAAGGAGAGCCGACACCACCACCACCACCACCACCATCGCCAGGAGCCGAGGATGGTCCTCATGTTGGTGGTGTGGTGCCCCCAGCTCCTGCGTCCCTCCAAGACATCGCAAAACTCTAGCTCGGTGAGCTCGGCATCGCTCGGACGTCCATTTCCCGTGCATTGTTCGGTTTCGTACGTGTTTTTTTTGCTCGATGGTCCAAGATCGTCCTCAATGGTTCTCGCCGAGAAAAAATGCACACGTCCGAGCGATGCCAGGCGAGTCATCGTGGACGTCCTCGGAAGCGGCCCGCTGGTGGTGGTGGTGTCGTTCCTCGTCCCGTGTCCTCCCTCCGTCCCCTGCCCCTACCCTACTCCACGGCAGTCCTTTCTCCCGCTCATTCTTCATCCTCCCCACAATACTCCTCCTCCTCCTCCTCCTCCTCCTCCTCCTCCTCCTCCTCCTCCTCCTCCTCCTCCTCCTCCTCCTCCTCCTCCTCCTATGCCTCCTCCTCCGCCCTACTACTCTCCATAATCAGAATTACTCTTCCTCCCCTCCCCATACGCCTCCTACCCCTTACTCCTGTGTCCGCAATCGGCCTTACTCTTCCGAATGCCCTTACTCCTCACCGTCTCCTCTCTCGAGAAGACACTGAAGGCCACGAAGCCTGCGGGTCCACAACACCGTGAGATCCGACGTAGCGAAAAAATACAACATCGTGACAAAGCACAGCAGGAGCCCTAGACTCCCTCTTTCTGCGCCATTCTTCGAACGGAATCGATCCGAGGGCCCCGGACCCCGAAACCATGCAAAAACGCCCAGCTCGAAAAAATTGAGACGCCGAGATCTCAAGGCACGACATTCGACAGGCCCGTCGCCTGGGCCGACGGGCGTCCGGATCGCCTCCTGCCACTCCTCATCGCCGCCGTGCCGCACGATGTTGCCCATGATGGCCGTCCAGATGGCCTGCCTGGCAGGGGGCGAGGGAAGCCCTCTGTGGCAATAGAGAGACCTCGACCCTGTCGAGGGAGAGAGAAGCCTGAACTAAGGCGAAGCCAGGACGAGGATAAACTCGGGTGAGAATAAATCGGCAGTGAGATCCAGCGGCTCAAGAGGATGTATCGGGCGTCGCGGCCTTCTCAGAGCGTTTGGGAGCGCTCTGAGAGCGCTCGGGAACGCTCTGGAACGGATTTGTCATCGTACTGGCCCCGTCTGAGGTTCCCCGTCGGTCGGAAGAAGTGATTAGAAACATGAAGCAGGCAGGCGTTGGATGTAGATTTGCCTTCCGCCCGCCCCCCGAAGAAGAGGGAAGAGGGACAGCCGCTCGATGCTCGAAGCAGGAAGGCGCTTGAAGCAGATTGGGATGTGGATATCCACAAGTACTTACTTGTTGGTCAGGCCTGTCCCCCTGAAGGGGAATTTTGGACGAAAAATAAAAATAGTCCAAAAATACTCCAAAAATGTTCAAACATACAAAAAGAACAATCGTCCCCTGACTATTTGTTTTAACTATTTTTGAATATCCCTCCTGTAGAGGGACAGGCCCGACTTAAACTTACTTTCAGCGATCGGCGTGTAAGGGCAAAGGCGAGAGAGGCCCTGACAAGGGTTAGCCAGACCTGGGACAGAAGAACGTCCTTCAAGATCATGAGACCCTCCTCCAGCCAAACTGAGGAGCATCCGAGGGTACTCTCCCCCAGGATGCACAGGATCATTCAGCAAGCACAAAGAACATACCCTCCCCGAGCCGACCTCGATCTTATACTGGAGGCCTCTTGGATGGGGTCGGAGTATATGGCGTCGGAGGATCGCGCCGCATCGCCGATACATCGGCGATGCACCGTCGACGTCGGCGATGCTTCGGCGACGTCGACGTGAAGCACATCGGGCTGCACATCGAGCCGCATCGGCGATGCATCGGCGATGCGGCGCGATCCTCCGACCCCCTCTACAGTCGGAGCCTTGACATAAGGAACCCTAAATAAGGAACGAGGCCCCCTTTTTCTATAAGTTGGCCTTCGAATTCCTGTCGAAAACATGAGGAAAACCTGAGGCAAGCTGCGAAACACTCAAGGAACGCGGAGCCCCTCCCCAACGAAAAGGGTTCCTTCTTCAGGGCCCCGACTGTACTGGTGATCTCCAAACCAGGTGGTGAGACAACCGGTGGTGACCCCGATTCCCCCAACAAATAATTCTGGGTCACCACCGGGTTTGGGGACACGCGGTCGCCACGAGGTTTTGCGTTTCCTAGGCCAGCCAGCGCTCGAAAACCATTACCCAAATCGCCCAAAACTCACCACCGGGTGTTCTCACCACCACGTTTGTCGGGTCGGGCGAAAGGGGGGGATAGCAAAGGGGGGGTTTGAGAATCAGCTCGCGTAGCTGATTTTCCCGGCGCCTCCCGGCGCCGGAGGCGGCCATGTATCGAGGAATGGGCCCCTCGGTGAGGCCGAAACCAGCTGCATGCAGCAAATTTCGTAACCCCCCCTTTCCCAATCCCCCCCTTTCGCCCGGCCCGAGTTTGGGGACCACCGACTACGTTTGGGGACCACCGACTTCGGGAGCGGCAAAGAGGGGGGTGTCCAAGAGGGGGGGGGTGCAAATCATGACCGGCGGCATGTGCGCGGCCCAGCGGGGGGGCCAGAGACGTAATGAAACAAGAAGAGGCGCCACGAAATCTGGGGAAATATCATGGCCCACGCCATGATATCCCCCCCCCCCTAGTCATCACCCCCCTCTTTTCCGCCCCCGACGACTGCACCTCGGTGCGACCGCCCTGCAACCGGGACGACACGAGGAAGGAGGAGGAGGAGGAGGAGGAAGGAGGAGGAGGAGGAGGAGGAAAGGGAGGAGGAGGAGGAGGAGGAGGAGGAGGAGGAGGTGTCCTCGTCGTCGACGCCGCCTTGCAACCGGGACGACACACGCTCCGCCACAGCACCGTGCTGGCAGTGAGGGCGAGGCGCCGAGCGCCCCGTGCCCTGCAGGTGGGCGGCCCCCGCCGCCGGAGGGGCCCTCCGAGGCCGCCCCGCGGCAGCCCGGGCCCGCCGCACGGCAGAGCCGACAGCCCGAGGCCTGCTCCTCCCCTCCTCCCTCGTCTCCCTCCTCCTCCTCCTCCTCCTCCTCCTCCTCCTCCCTCCTCCTCCTCCTCCTCCTCCTCCCTCCTCCCTCCTCCTCCTCCTCCTCCTTCGCCGCCGCACGCCAGAGCCCGCCGCACGACAGAGCCCGCCTCCAGACACGACGGCCCGCCGCACGACAGAGCCCTGCGGTCCCTGCTGACGACCTGCCAGACCAACCCAACCCAACCCGAAGACCCGAATTTCGGGTTTGGGGGGGGATAAGGGTTCCACATGTGTGCTTGTTCGATGTTTCCCGACCCCCCCCCCCACTGGAAGTGGAGGGTAAACCTGAGCCTTCGGGTTGGGTTGGGGTGGTTTGGTGGGTGGTGACCTACCCGCCCCCCCACGGACGACCGCAGACTGGCGGCGAGCGCGGGGGGGAAGCGAGAAGGGAGCGGGCCTTCTCCGAAAGCTCGGAAGTCCCCCGGCCTTCTGAGAAGCTTCGTGAGCCTTCCCCGAAGACAGAGAAAGCTGATCAGAAGGCCGGAGGGAGAGGTCCCGCCGCCTTCTGAGGAGGCCTTCTCCTTCTCACTTCCCCCCCCTCGCGCGCCGCCAAGTAGAGGCCCCCAGGGATCTGGTATTCTTGTCCAGCGCGCGGCAACAGCACAGGCTCCCACTGCACGCCCGAGGCGGCCCAGCAGAGAGTGACAGCGAACATTTCGACCCCTATCCCAGGCTTCGCACGGTTTCGAATGGACCAACCATTTGGGGCCCAACCCTGGGATATACGACGAGGGGGGGCGTCCATCCTCGATAGGGTGCGTCCGACTAGCCCCCACTGGGGTGTACCCCAGGGTTCCCCCCCCTCCCTGCAAGGCCCAACTTCTCGGGCGGAACTCGGGGGGCGGGGGCGAACAGCCCCCACTGGGGTGTACCCCAGGGTTCCCCCCCCCCCTCCCTGCACGGCCCAACTTCTCGGGCGGAACTCGGGGGTCGGGGGCGAACAATCGCACGGGAGAGAGAGAGGGGCCCAGGAGGACCCCCAGGCGGGGCCCAGGAGCCGCCGAGGGGGGCCCGGCAGAGGGCCACCCGCAGAGAGACCGAGAGAGAGAGAGAGAGAGCGAGCGAGAGCCCCCCGCCGGGGGGGGGGGGGCCGCAGGCAGGCCCCACGAGAGCGCCCGTCTCCTGCCCCCCCCCCCCCCCCCGCGAGCGCCGAGAGCGGCGCGCGCGTCGGGGCCGAGGCGCCACGACCGTGCCCTTCCTGCTCCTCTCCTCCTCCTCCTCTCCTCCTCCTCCTCCTCCCCCTCTCTCCTCCTCCTCCTCCTCCTCTCCTCCTCCTGCTCCTCCTCCTCCTCCTCCTCCTCCTCCTCCTCCGCCTCCTCCTCCTCCTCCTCCTCTCTCTCCTCCTCCTCCTCCTCCTCCTCCTCCTCCTCCTCCTCCTCCTCCTCCTCCTCCGGATTAGGTCGGGCGTGTCCTCTTACGGGCGGATTTCGGGCCAACAAATTACCCCGGCGACGTGCCCAACCCCCGCGCAATGCGGGGCAGGAGTAGCTTGGGAGGTTTGCCGAGAAGGCGCCGACGTGACATGGACGCATATACTTCTGCGAGCGGCATTCGGAGGGTTCGAAGGTCCCCAATCAAGGGAAAAACAATGAGTAACTAAGTGAACCCCTGAGTCACTAAGGAAGACGCAAGGTCCACAAGGAGACTGTGGGTAAGGGGCTTAAAACGTCGGCGGGACAGCAACAACATGACATGGCCCCCCAGGGACGGCGAGGTCCCGCTCAGGTCCGCGCAATGCCTCAATCCGCTGGACCCACCAGCAGCCTTCGAAAGTGGCGAGCCCAACAGCAGTCCTCGAAAATGGCGACAGTTTCGCAGATCGCAGCCCCCCAGGGACGGCGAGGTCTCGCTCAGGTCTGCGCGGTGCCTCACTCCGCTGGACCCACCAGCAGCCCTCGAAAGCGGCGACAGTTTCGCAGATCGCGACAGTTTCGCAGATCGCAGCCCCCCAGGGACGGCGAGGTCCTCGCTCAGGTCTGCGCGGTGCCTCACTCCGCTGGACCCACCAGCAGCCCTCGAAAGTGGCGACAGTTTCGCAGATCGCAGCCCCCCAGGGACGGCGAGGTCTCGCTCAGGTCTGCGCGGTGCCTGACCCACCAGCAGCCCTCGAAAAAGGCGACAGTTTCGCAGATCGCAGCCCCGCAGGGACGGTGAGGTCTCGCTCAGGTCTGCGCGGTGCCTCACTCCGCTGGATCCACCAGCAACCCTCGGAAGTGGCGACAGTTTCGCAGATCGCAGCCCCCCAGGGACGGCGAGGTCTCGCTCAGGTCTGCGCGGTGCCTCACTCCGCTGGACCCACCAGCAGCCCTCGAAAGTGGCGGCAGTTTCGCAGATCGCAGCCCCCCAGGGACGGCGAGGTCTCGCTCAGGTCTGCGCGGTGCCGCACTCCGCTGGACCCACCAGCAGCCCTCGAAAGTGGCGGCAGTTTCGCAGATCGCAGCCCCCCAGGGACGGCGAGGTCCCGCTCAGGTCTGCGCGGTGCCTCACTCTGCTGGACCCACCAGCAGCCCTCGAAAGTGGCGACAGTTTCGCAGATCGCAGCCCCCCAGGGACGGCGAGGTCTCGCTCAGGTCTGCGCGGTGCCTCACTCCGCTGGACCCACCAGCAGCCCTCGAAAGTGGCAACAGTTTCGCAGATCGCAGCCCCCAAGGACGGCGAGGTCCCGCTCAGGTCTGCGCGGTGCCTCACTCCGCTGGATCCACCAGCAGCCTTCGAAAGTGGCGACAGTTTCGCAGATCGCAGCAGGGACGGCGAGGTCTCGCTCAGGTCTGCGCGGTGCCTCACTCCGCTGGACACACCAGCAGCCCTCGAAAACGGCGACAGTTTCGCAGATCGCAGCCCCCAAGGGACGGCGAGGTCTCGCTCAGGTCTGCGCGGTGCCTCACTCCGCTGGACCCACCAGCAGCCCTCGAAAGTGACGACAGTTTGGCAGATCCAAGCCCCCCAGGTATGGCAAGAGGAGACGAGGAGGGGGGGCGGGAGGTGGGAGGCAGGAGGCGGGAGGAGAAGGAGGAAGACGCGACCGCGGTGCTCTATTCAAAACGAGAACACAACCAAGAATGGTTAGGAATAACCCAAGACATGCTCAAATATACTCAAAGCATCGCCCCCCAGGCTACTGTTTGACTATGTTTGAACATTCCTCCTGTAGAGGGCCATGCCCGACTTGACCCTAAGACCCCGAGACCCTAAGACCCCGAGACCCTGAGACCCTCAGCTGGGCCAGGGGGGCTCCAGAATCGAGGGCGCCCAACTTCGCGCTGCGCGCTGCGCGGAGCGCGAGCCACCTCGAGGAGCTCTCGCGCCGCCCCCCTCGGGGGAGAAAAGGAGGATGAGAGAGATCGGAGCCGAGCCGCGAAGAGCGGGTGACTTCGCGCCCTGGAGGGCGCCCCTGATACTTGGAAGATGCGCGTGCTGGTGTCGGAGGCTGCCACCAAGTGCCTCTGGCCCAGGTGGACGTTTTCTGATTCGGCGCATCGACATTGGGCGGAAACGGGGGGGTCTGGCTCCAGACCCCTGCTTCATGCCACAGTCTGCGGCAGTGCGTTCTGTTGGGGGGGGAGACTCCACCTACTGGAAACGGGCACCAAAAACGGCCAAGATCTGCTCCACATGGGGGGGAGAAGGGGGCGCGAGGGCCGGGAGGAAGAGGAGGAGGAGGAGGAGGAGAAGGAGGAGGAGGAGGGGGAGGAAAAGGAGGAGGAGGAGGAGGAGGAGGAGGGGGAAGAGGAGGAGGAGGAGGAGGAGGAGGAGGAGGAGGAGGAGGAGGAAAAACGATGAATGAGAAAGCGATCATAAGAGTCTCCCTCGCACCACCTTGGAGTCCCAGGGCTCCTCCTGGCCTCGCCGGGGCTGCTCCGGAGGGCTCCTGGGCCCCCCTGTAGAGAGAGGCCAGGGCGCCACGGGATTGCCACCGGCTGCCAGCACGAGCGCGCGAAGAGTCGGCGGCGACGACAAGGGCGGATAGCCCAGAGGCGGGCATTGCACGCTTTCCCCCAGGAGCCTCGCCGAAGACATGCACCATCGGCGCCCCTGAATACATGTGTATTGCTCCCCCCTGGGCTATTCGCCCCAATCGTCGCCTTCGGAAGGACGCCTGCCTCCGCGGTGAAATCTTGCCCGAATGCAGTGGCTCCCGCTCAGCGGGCTCAGCTGGGCGGTCCCAAAGCAGTGCGGTGACAGACCGTGCGGTGACCTCGAAATTAGCAAAAAACAGAAAAACTCGCTGCACGCTCTGCCTCCGCACGGTTTTGGGACCCGGGGGCACCCCCAATCGCCCAGGGCGTCCTCGGAGTGCGAGGCGAGTCCCCAAGTCGTGAGGTAACCCCGATCCCCCACTGACTCACCGCAGGGCTGGACCTAAACCTTGTTTTACGTTTTGTTGTTCGTTTTGCTCCACCTGTTTTCTGGTACCTCCCTCCCAAAACGAAAAACAAAACACAGCCGAAATCCAGCCAAACAGCGTTTAGGTCCAGTCCTGATTCGCAAAGACCTCACTGCAAGCTCCGTCACCGCACGGTTCTGGGACCTGGGGGCACCCCAGTCGAGCGGGGCGTCCTCGGGGTGCGAGACAAGTCCAAAAAGATCGTGAGGCAACCCTGGTCTCCCACTGACTCACCACACAGTGTCACCGCACATTTTTCGGCAAGGCTGGACCTCAACGTTGTCTAGTTGTTTTGTGTTCGTGATGTTGTTCGTATTGCTCAACCTGTTTTCTGGTACTTCCCCCCCAAAACGAAAAACAAGACACAACCGAAGTCCAGCAAAACAGCGTTTAGGTCCAGCCCTGTTTTACGGCTACACGCAGGAGTGACCCCAGGCAAGAGTGGCCTTTGGTGCGCGGCTTCAAGGTGCCGCGGGGGGCCCAGATCCACGCGGGCAGGCCACTGGCTGGGGGGAGCCCCGTGCCCGCAGACTCACTCTTACGCATGGCCGACGTTTTGTCGGAAAACGAACATACGCAGAAAGCTTCTATACACCACCACTGTTCCAGGCCAGGGCCATCCTGGCCCTGGCGTGGTGTACACGCCCTCCTGGCCGAAGCCAGGAGGGTCTGTACACCATCCTGGGGCCCAGCGGGCCCTGGCCTGGTACGGTGATGGTGTATAGAAGTCTTCGTCGGAGAACAGTGACATAAACATCAGCTTTCGGAGGTCCGCGCGGATTCCTCGGATCGGCACTGGACTCCCTCCCTGGCGCGCGGAGCGCGGAGGAGGAGGAGGAGGAGAAGGAGGAGGAGGAGGAGGAGGAGGAGGAGGAGAAGGGGGGAGGAGGAGGAGGAGGAGGAGGAGGAGGAGGAGGAGGAGGACGAGGAGGAGGAGGAGGCGCCGTTGGCGGCGCCTCCGGCGCCGCCAAGGAGCCCCAGCGCTTGGTCCGGGAAATCCGCGCCGACCCTCGACAGTGTCTGCTGACGTCACTGCTCGTTCCCCTAATTTTGGGGGTCCCCCAATAAACTGCACACTTCCCTATCCATTCTACGGCTATTTCAATCGCCCAGCAGTTTCACACGGTATCCCGGGGCAGCAGTGGCCAATTTTGCTTACTCTATTCCTCCGCCGCGTACTGTTTTCCTTGTTGTTTCTGCTCTTGCTCCTGATCTGCAGTGCCTGGAAGACCAGGGATCTACTGACCTGGGCCCATCCAGACCTGGGTCCGACAGGCCCTGCAGGGTCCTGCAGGATCCTGCAGGATCCTGCGCCCAAGCCCAGGTCAGTGCGACCCTGGCTCTGCAGGATCCTGCAAGATCCGTCGCTCTGGTGAGCGTTTTTTATTCGGCGTTTCGACATTGGGCGGGAAGGGGGGGGGAGGGGGGGTCTGGCTCCAGACCCCAGCTTCGTGCGACTGTTTGCAAGAGACCCCACCCGCTCGAAAAAGGCGCCCAACAAAAACGGCCAAGATCTACTCCATAGGGGGGGAGGGGGGGGGGAGGGGGCCCGTGCCCGGTGGCAAAGCAACAATGAAAAACGATCACCTGGCTGACCCCCGTTTGCATTGAGCCAGGTCTTTTGAGCCCCGAAGGGGGTTCGGGCCCCGCAGCGCCGGGCAGCGTCCCTGGAGGCCAGCAGCTCGGGCGCGGCCGAGGCGCCCGAGGCCTTCTGCCTGGCGTAGGCCGAGCACGCGGCGATTGCCTCGGCAGCGAGTCCCGAGGAGGGGCGACTGGGGATGGGACGCCCAAGGGCAAACCAGTACGATGTGCCCTCTTCGAAATGCGTGCGCCCGACCCGAACAACATAGTAAAACCATGTTATAACATATATATATATATACATATATATAATTATGTATGTATGTAAACATCTATCAATATCGTTTCCCGAGCAGTATGGCCAGAAGGCGCCCGCCACGGATCATGCACCAGAAGATTTCTCGGTGCGCGCGTCGCCCCAGGAGGGGGCGGCGCACATGGTACTGGCAAGTATGCCGGGGCGACGCCGAGGGGAGCCTGTCCGGGGGGACGAAAGGGAAGGAGAGCAGAGGACGAGACAGAGGCTCAGCTCACGCAGCCGGCTTTCCTGGCGCCCCCTAGCGCCGGCAGGCGCCCCCCTGCGTCGAGGAATGGGCCTGGGCGGCGGAGCCGAAACCAGATGCACGCAGCAGAGTCCGTAACCCCACCCCGTTCCCTAATCCCCCTCCCCCTCTCCCCCTCTCGACTATCCTGTCCGTACCCCACCCCGTTCCTTTCCCCCCCTCTCCCCCCTCTCGCCCCGTCTAGAAACGGCTCCGGATCAAGAGCCAGAGTTCGTTACACCACCCCGTTCCCTCACCCCCCCCCCTCCCGCGCAGCCCGAGACTGCAGACCAGGAGCCCCTCGCCTCGGGAACCAAAGCAAGACGGTTTTGTTCTGGCACGTGCGCTGCCTCCAGAGGGGCCCCTGCGGGGCCCCTGGGACCGTCGAAACACGACTCGGGATGTGAAACAGGTCTACCGGAAGGGGTCGAGAACTCTGGTGAACAACATCACAACGTCGGGTGAGATGGGGATTACAGCCGAGTCGTTCCAGTGACGGTCCTACGAGGGGCGGGGGGCTGGGGCCGAGGCGCTTGGAGCTGTGGAAAAATTGAGAACACGTCCTGGCCGGTTTCAATCGATACGCCGTGGTTGAGTCGCCGTCGGTCGTCCAGAGGTGGGGGGTGGCACACACCACATACGGCAAGTTCACATTGTGATGACGTTGCCTTTGATTCCTGACACCGCTCCGGGGGAAACCAAAAAGTACCGACACCGCTACCCCCGGGACCTCTCCCAGGGTGCGCTCTGACCACGACGTCGAGGCGAATCCAGCGGTGGCGACGAGGGTCTCTCAGAAGGCCCCCCAAAGAGGAAAACGATGCAAGGGCGGCGGTATGGGCACCTTTTCCTTTTCCGGGTTCGAGCTTCATCGATCGCCGTTTCGAAACGGCGATCGATGAAGCTCGAGCCCGGTTACGCAATCTACGCGCCTACGTTGATGCTTCGTTGTGCTTGAGCCGCGTGAGCGTGTTTCTGGGGGGCGCTGTGGAGGGCGAACCTCTATGGGTTTTGATGTGAGCAGGGGTGGGGCGTAGTAGTCAGATCTAGTCTCCAGCAGCGCAGGTCGTTCGATGCCGAACGATCCTGGGCAGCTCGCGGTGTGCCGAACGAAGGCCCCCCAAAGGGGAAAACGATGCAAGGGCGGCGGTATGGGCACCTTCTCCTTTTCCATGGTTCGAGCTTCATCGATCGCCGTCTCGAAACGGCGATCGATGAAGCTCGAACCCGATTACACAATCTACGCGCCTACGTTGATGCTTCGTTGTGCTTGAGCCGCGTGAGCGTGTTTCTGGGGGGCGCTGTGGAGGGCGAACCTCTATGGGTTTTGAGGTGAGCAGGGGTGGGGCGTAGTAGTCAGATCTAGTCTCCAGCAGCGCAGGTCGCTCGATGCCAAACGATCCTGGGCCGGCTTGCGGATCGATCGATCGCCGTTTCCTGGGAAGTCCGATGGGAACGATCCTGGTTCGAGCTTCATCGATCGCCGTCTCCAGCAGCGCAGGTCTGAAGGGGCCCCAGGACACACAAATAAATACACACAAATAAAAAGATTCCCCATATTTTCCCATATTTTCTGGGTTTCTGTCTTCCCCCTCACTTCCCATGTTTTCCTATATTTTCTGGGGAATCGACGATTAATTGTGTCTGTGTGTTTCTTTCCCTCCTGAAGGTCGTCCGATGCTGGACGAGCCTGGGCCGGCTCGCGGTGTGCAGCCCCGAGCGTCCGCGCCGGGGGCGCCGCCGCGTCGGCGCGGCACGAGCCGTGCCCCACCCGGGTGCGGGCAGGGGGCCGCAGGAGCGAAGAGGGAATGAGGGGCAACGATAAGAGGGGAGGGGGAGGAGGAGGAGGAGGAGGAGGAGGAGGAGGAGGAGGAGGAGGAGGAGGAGAAGGAGGAGGAGGAGGAGGGATAGGGGGGGGCAACCAAAGGGGGAGGATACAGGGCAGGTGTTAATACATAGGAGTTTTGATACATTGGATGTTTAAAACATGATTAATTCAGTAGTAAATCGATGCATACATGCATCATTGCTTTTGATACTAAATCCCTTTATCCTTAATATATGATCCGCACGCGGAGCATGTATCAAAACAGACGCTGTAGGGGGGGAACGGCATAGGGGGGACACATCGACATGGGATCGGCGATGCATCGCCGATAGATCGGCGATAGGCCCCCGACAGTGAGTCCGCACGTTCCTGGGCAGGTTGGGGCTATCGGGCCCCCATCGGCGATCAATGGGCGACTGGGGGTCGATGCATCCCCCCTGTACCTTTCCCCTCCGATCGTTGCCCCTGAGGGAAGTGGTGATCGGACGACTCCACAGGAATCCCACAAATACCCTGGAGAAGCTCGGACGCCAGAGGACCACCGAGAGTCCCCGAGACTCCCGCCCTTCCAGATCCGACCCGCCCACTCTGCAGACCGCGGCCGCCAGATCCCCAGGTCCACCGAAACTCCGACACTCCCGCCACTCCAGACCCGACTCGCCCCCTGTGCACACAGCCGCCGCTAGGTCCCCAGGTCCCCCGAGAACCTCGTCAGGTGCCTGTGGGAGATGAAGGCCTCTCGAGCTCCTTCTTCCCCCTCCCTCCTTCTTCCCCCCCTCCTTCTTCCCCCCCTCCTTTTCCCCCCCCCCCTCCTTCTTCCCCCCCTCCTTCTTCCCCCTCCTTCTCGAGCACTCCTGACTCTCCCCCCCTCCTTCTTCCCCCTCCCTTGCGGATGACTCCTCCGTGTCTCGCTCCCAGACGTGCTGGCGGAGCGGGCCCGGCCGCCGTGCACATGTCTCTAGACCGCATGCAAGAGCTGCCGGGATGCAGCGCGGTGGACTTCAGGATGGGGATCTCGTCTTAGCGCCGCGGGCACTCGTCTAAAAAACTGTTCGACATGGGGCGGAGGGCGGAGGGCGGTCATTGTCAAGAAGGGACTCTCGCATAAACGCCGAGCACAGTAGTCTTGAAAGTCAGTGCTGCAAGAGTGGAGGGCGGTTTCGTGTTGCCGCGGGCAACCTGGACGGGCACCGTAGCCTTGAATTGGTTGTGTTAGTGTTTCGTGCGGTCGTTCCTACTGTTCTGCCGTCTTGTTTGTGCTTGGCCCACAGGTTCTGAGGTGGTCTCCTGCCCTTTCATGTCATCTGCAAGCGTTATTACGCCTTCGTGCTTTTGTGACGAAGCTACGCGACGTCTCTTGTATCTATGCATGCAGGTCCCAGTCAACTGCCTCATCAACTGTGCTTCTGGAAGCATATCGAGATGTTAATGAGCATGTGCCCGATCCCAGAATCTCCGGCTCGATTGCAGCGTTGTCCCCCTCGACCTTTTAGGATCCAATTTGCAAGCCTATGAACGCGATCTCTGCGGACATCAGAAGTAGCGCCCTCATCAACACAGTCTGGAATAACTCCTGATTCAAGACACTGCCACGGGATACTTTGATGCCCCATCCACACCGATTACTGGACCGTTCCAGCATCAACTCGACAGCCCGAACGTGCGCGTGCAATTCAGGGGCATAGCAGCGCAGAGAATCGAGGGGCACAAACAAGTCAGCCAAAGCTGACGAGAGGCGGCACGGCCCCAAGGCGATGGCAAACGAGATAGCAATAAATTCAAGGGGTAGAGGCAGCAACATAGAAACGGACATCTTCAGGATTCCATAACACCGACGCGCCCCTCACGATTCGATAGATATCGACGCAAGCGCTTAGAAACCTCAGCGCGCGGCAAATCATAGGGACGCAAAGGGGCGTTTGCTGCGGCCCTGTGACTTTCACCAACTCGGCACACTGCGCGTGGACCTGCTACAGGAAGTCAGCGGCCTTGCAGGTAGGCGCACTCTGCAGAGGCAATACACGGCACTCAACAGCGCCCACAACGCGAGCGGCCGCGGCCACAACTTCCAGGAGGACCACATCCAGCACTATCCCAGCAAGCCGGCGAGACATATACTTCCACGCCATGGCGTCCTGAACCCCCCTGCAATCAATTAGCGCAGTAGTCTGTCGCTCTGGCAAGTTGAAGCAAGACGGCAAGGGCAGCCACCTGCGACGTGCATCTATTCTCGGAGCGCCACCTTGCCACAGGAATCTCCGGCAACGGAGTAGCGAGCAGTGGACTGGCCACCGCTCCCAGGAGACAGCGGAGGATGCCGAAGCCACAGAATGCATCTGCAGCCCGACCTAGCGGTTTTCCTCGCGGCAGCCTTCCCTCGTCGAGTCGCCAATGAACTATCGCGCAACCAAAAAAACGTAATATTCAGCGTTTGGATTGCGTTTGCTGGCATTTGACGCGCACGCCGCACGCGAACTCAACGGCGGTGCCAAGGGCCACCTGACTTGCGAGCCTTGTCGTGGATAGCAAGACTCTGCACGCGACGAAAGACGCGGCTCCTCTGTCATCTCTGCAGCCCCCGCCACGGCGCACCTGAAGACAGCGCACCTGACAGAGAGACTCGACGACAGCCCCACGGTCGATCTCACTGAGACCAATCATGCCGTCCAACACCCAATTGCGCAACACCCGGCGGCCAATTGAACTCGCGCGGGCGCCACCGCACAGGCGGCAGATACCCCCGTGCACTCAAACGTCGCGCCGTACCATGCCCGTGAACCATGCCGAGCCCAA